ACACAGACAACCCCGTAACAATATGCGTTTTGTACTGCTGTTACACAGCACAAAATGCATAAAAAAGAATGTTTTTCGTATGAGGGCTACTCATATCTCTATATCTCGTACATCAAGCTGATGCGGAAGTGTTTTTTTTTTTCCGAAAACTTTTTTCTCTCGGAATACTAAAAGGCCTCATTTTTCCACTCCATAACTGTATATATATAACTAATTTCTACAAACTTCAATTACCACAATCGTCGTACTGACGAGGCCGATTTGTGGTAATGGTAGGAAATGTATACGACCTAATGGACCGAAACATTTCTTACCATTATTATAATCTCACAAATTTCCTAATTTTTTCATTCTTCTGCTTATTTCATTCCTTGTTATAACTTTTCGTTGCATGTGTAGCTCGGCATGTACCTCAGTTTTTTCTTTCAGAATTCCCTGATAACGAGGTTGTTGAGCTCGGTGATTGCGTGGCTTTCATCGGTAAGCTGATGCTGGAGAATGAATGTTATTTGTTGCTCGCAACTCAGTGCACAGCAATTGCTACTTATCCGTGTACTAACGTAAGTTTCGATGAACTTGGCAATGCCTCCACTGTACTTAAATTTATGTGTGTATGGGCTTTTATTTCAAGTAGGGAGTGTAGAACAAAAAAGCCAGTAAGCTGAAATTCTTGAATGTTACGGCCCCACACACATACGACTTGGCAAATTTACGTCCAGCCCTTACATATGCCTAGGTTCTGTGTATGCTCGCAACGAAATTTTTAGCACCAAAACTGCAAAGTCGGAAACCACAAAATCTACAAAGCAAAAATTTTAGGAAAATTTACCCTGCTCACATGCAACTTTGCAAATTTAAATTCAGTTTTTCACGTACGCTTCAATTCTTACAAGAGGGCACGTAATAGGAGGTATGTTAACAACGGATGAAATAAGGAGAATCAAAAAGGAAGGTAGGAGATGCGAATTACAAAATTTGTAAATTAATAGAATTATTTTAATGGTAAGAAATGTTTTGGTCCATTAAGTCGTATACATTTTTTACCATCACTACAACTGAATCCTGCCGGTACCTAGCTCAAATTTTTGGAGCCTTCCTTGCTGCACATGTCCGAAGACGAGACGTACACTGCCGGGAACGTTAATTTTGCATGCGAATGACTTTTTCGACTTTTTGGCCTGCGGTATTCCTTGTCGAGAACGAGAATGTCGATCGCAAGTAGTACAGAGGAGAGTAAAGTGCTTTGCCTCAATGCAATCCAGAGTGTTACAAAGCGCATTTGCTTATAATTACCAATAATTTAATCTAGTCACAGCATAAGAACTATCAGATTTTTTGGCTAAGAAAGTAATTCTTACACTTCAGGATGTGATTAGCCACATTGATCGGGTCGTTGCGGTTCCTGTTGAGAAAGAAGGATCACCTGCTAAGGTAAACTTCATTTTATATAAACTGATAGGTTTCACTGTGTATAAACTCTCTGTTGCAATCTCACTGGAGTACTGCGATTTCGACTTGGCATAAGTGAGGTTATTAGAGCAGATTGTAGCAAAAAGTTTTTTTAAAGTTGGGCTGGTCATGCGAAGAAATAGTTGGACAAAGCGGATTATCTAATGGTACCCATGCAAAAACAA